ACAACACATCACACACACACTCAGACAAATCCAGACACACACACCACACATATCACACATACCACACACACACACCATATCACACACCACATACACACACACGCACACCACACATTCAGACACACACCACACACCACATACACACACACGCACACCACACATTCAGACACACACCACACACCACATACACACACACGCACACCACACATTCAGACACACACCACACACCACATACACACACACGCACACCACACATTCAGACACACACCACACACCACATACACACACACGCACACCACACATTCAGACACACACCACACACCACATACACACACACACACATACCACACAGACACACACCACACACCACACACCACACACCACACACCATACACCACACACCACACACACACATACTTTCACACAAGCACATATGCACACACTTGCACACCACACACACACACACACACACACACACCTTTGATCATGATCACACACTTGATTGCCATTCTTAGATCTCTTTCTCCAACACTCTCCTTTTTCACGTCTGCACTGATGCCTTTTGAAGTTGCACATGTATCTATCTCCCCTGATCCCAACAGTGCACATGAAAGGTAGCACAAGTCATAGTATAGCTTTTTAGATTTTACATGATGAGCTTCTGTTTCATATTTTTTTTCTTCAGATGACACAATATCATTGTGTTTGCTAAAAATCACTTGTTCACACTCCACATTTTGTTTTTCTGTTTATCTATTGATTGGCCCCTTGACTGCTTCTGTAACCTAGCTATTATATTAACACAACAAGAAAAGGTGTTTGTACAAGTTTCTCTGTAGTAAGCTGAATTTGTTTCTTTGGGGTATATACCAAAAGTATTATAGCTGGATCAGATAGAAGTTCTATTTCAGTTCTCTGAGGAACTTCCATATTGTGTTTCATTCTCGCTCCCTAACTTACATCTGTAGTTGGTCATCCCCATGTTACCTGGCAGCTGAGCAGCCATTCTCAGTTTCTGGTTTCTTTACAATAACCATTTGACTGGAATATAATTTTGTAATATATGTAATTTTGATTTTAATTTTTCTTATGGCTCAAGATTCTAGACATCTTTTATGTATCTATTGTATCTGCTATCTTTCATTTGAAGTGTCTTTTCAGATAATTTGTCCGCTTATTAAGTTTATTATTAATCTTTTAGTGATTATTTTAATTTTTCTTACTTTATATATGCTGGATATTAATAACTGTTGGATGCATATCTAGCAAAGATTTCTCTCCCATTTGTAGACTGCTATTTCACCCTGTTGTTTCGTATACTGCCCAGAAGCTTTTTAATTTAACACAAATGCCTTTGCCACTGTTGCTCAGTTTCTCAGCTACCATGTATGAAAAGAATTAAAAATCCTGGCCTGTGCTGATACCTTGAGGTGTTTTATTGTGTCTGCTCTTACATTAAGGTCTTTGAGCTGATTTGTAGAGCGGGGTTGGGGGGGGGAGTCCGGGAGACTAGTTAAATTTGTTTACAGGTACCACTTGTCAAAGAGGGTTTTTATCTAACGTGTGTTTGTGGCACTTTTGTCAAGAATCAGATGGCTGTAGCTGTGTGCGCTGAGGTCAAATTGTTTTTACCAATGTTTGCATGGCTATTTTCCTCTCAGTGCTAATGAGGCAGAGACATGGCACCATTTCATGTAAGACCCAAGAAAAATTCATGAACTTAAGTTGGAGATTGGAAAGAGATGTGTAGTTCTCTAAAACAGGGTTGCCTAAACTTTTTGACATGCAACCGTTTTTTTGCCTTAGAAACTGTGCCCTCAAGTATAGGGATCTATAAAACAGACATAGAAATAAAACGATTACTGATAAATCAAGAAATATTATTTAAAACCATTTCTTTCATAGACATGTAACTTTGCCATTGACGATTAAGTGGAGATTGCACAATACTGAAATAGATGTGCTTGTTTACTTTATAGAATGAATTAAATCCTGGCTGAATATTTGAAACTGTAAGACACAGAATATCTTCATTGTTTTTCAGAGTTGATTGATATTTTTATGCTCATCAGTGCTGAGAACATTGCATCATATAAATTGCTCAGAGCAAAATTGCAGTAGTCTGTTTAGGGACCTCTTCTACTCCTAAGCCAAAATTCACTTAATATATATAAAACAGTGATGTTCAAGCCAGCAACTCAAATAGTAGTTTAAAAAATCAAATTCTAACATAATACAATCTAAAGATAAAGTAATTCATTACTTCCATGCTTAAAAATGAAGTCGCTGCTTTTGTAATTCAGTCATTATATTCCTACAAGAGCATAAAAGTCTATATAGTAAAAGAACAACTTGTATCCTGCTGTCATCTGGAATCTGAGCTGGGAATTTCCAGGCAGAGTTTATTGGCAGTGTTTGTCACAAAGACACATGAAACACAAGGTGGAAGTGTGTGAGGGAACACAGAAGCAGTGAGGGTGTACATGGACATTGAATTTTGAGTTAATTTTAGGTTGTCATGCTTTCTGAAACTTTTTACTGTAGTGATTTTTTTCTTGCCAGGTATACAATCTCATGAGTCTCCAAACATAACTTAAGACACTGGGGACTAGACATGTGCAAACACTCATTGTGGCCATGCAGCAAGGAGAGGGATTGTGGGATATCACTTTTAGTTAAGAAAGCTTCTCGAGAAGGTTGGAAGGATGACTCCATGGTTAAGAGCACTGGCTGTACTTCCCGAAGATCTGGTTTGATCTAGCACCCACATCATGGCTAGCAACCCCTTGTAACCAGTTCCAGGAGATCTTACACCTTCTTATGGCCTCTATGAACAATGGATTCATGGTGCACAGACATACATGCATGAAAAACATTTAATACAAATAAGAAATCCAGCAACTTTACAAAAAGTATGAGGACTTGCTATACCTCTGAAATGTCCTGTGCAAACCTGCATCTCCCAAGGCTTATAGAAGTCTCAATTAAAATAAAAGATATGTGGCTTTTCCTGGTCCACAACTTTTGCTATTTTAATTTAATCAGTTTTCTGTAAGCTTCTTTCTGCAATTTGCTTCCACTAAAGAATTTCCTGTATTCATATTGAGTCATGAATGAAATATATGATTTATTGTACACTCTTTTAAAAGATATTTTAGATGTTTTGATAGAGACCAGAGATTCTTTTGACCAAACAGATAATCATATAAAAATAAAATATACATATATATTAGTGTGGGGTGGTGGGCTGTGAGAAGCACCTGGGTGCCTGGTTGAGCATAGGTCTTGAACTCCGGACCTTTATTGGTCGGCAGGTGCTCCCTGGCCCTGATTCATTTCATTTAGCTTCAGCCCTCCACAGCTCCCCCCACAGAGAGGTCTATGGCCATTAGTCACAAGGAACAGTGTCTCAGGCTCTCCCACATGTAGATGAGGTATCTCCAAGCTCACAGACCAAGCCAATAGGTGTTATCTGCTGCCAGACCCTGACTCACCCCAAAACTGTATATAAGATCCCTATTTGGGAGAAGTAAAAGTGTCCAAGAATCATCCCGTTGTCCAAGAGTTTCTATCGCAAGAGCTGTAACACTTGGGGAGAGATTTGCTCTCCTGGAACCTGCCTGGGACACCAAGCTGCCTCCTTGCCAGCTAGCCAGCTTCTTATTGGTCCAGCTAGGGCCACCTCAGCGCAGAGAAACAGGCCGGGCAGAAGATTGTTGTGGGATGCCCTCCGGAACAAGGGACCCACATATTAAGATATGTGTACACTGATTATGATTTTAATTTACATTCTACGTCCCTGTAAGACATTTAGCCTATGATCTTATAAATAAATAGAAGCAACTAAATAGAAAAATTGTGTCTGAAGTTTCAAAAGTACTGTGTAATAACACATCATAAATATTGAACTGACATTTTCCAAAGAGAATGTATGAGTAAATATTAGGAAAATTGGAATTCTGATATGATTTGGCTTATTTGGATGGCAAGATTGAATTAACCATTTTTTTTAAAGTAATGGGTAGTTTAAATAAATTACCAGATAAATCTCAAATCTCATCATTTTCTTTTTTCTTTTTTCTTTATTTGTTTATTTACATTAAACTCTGCTCCCCATCCTGGTCTCTCCTCACAGATACCCTCCCTCACCCATCTCCCATCTCCTCTGAGAGGGTGCCCCCCACCCCCCGAGTATCTTCCCACCCTGGCACATCAACTCTGCCAGGGTAGGCACATCCTTTCTCACTGAGGCCAGTTGGGAAACATACACCACAGTTAGGCTTTAGGGATAGTGTCCGTTCCAGTTGTTGGCGGCCCACATGTAGACTGAGCGGCACATCAGGCCCATGTGTGTTCTTTGGTTGGTGGCTAAGTCTCAGAGAGCTCCCAGGGGTAGAGGTTAGTTGTCATACTCGTCATTTTTTAAAGAAAAGACTGCAGCAGAATTTCCATGGAAGAATTGAGAGCGTCTGCTCCCTGGCGTTTCCTCTTTCGCAACTTCATTTACTTTGCAGTTTTAAAACTTAGTCCTTAATAATAATTTTCTGGATTTCCTTTTAACGTACTGACATGACAGAGAGGTTTTCAAATAATAATTTTCTGGATTTCCTTTCAATGTACTTACATGATAGAAAAGTTTTCATTTTATTTTTATATGTACAATTCACAAATAGGATTTTACTTGAAGTCTCCTTTAAAAGAAAAGAGTCAACATTCTTGGAGAAGTGAGTATCGAGAATGAACCCGTTAGCTTGCGGAGTGCACACTGGATGCAATAAAAACACGGAGCTTTACTGTGAAGGAGCTAATTAATTCAAGTCCCTCTTTGTGCAGGGCCATCGCTTCTTCATCTCTCTCTGATGAGATGACAGGATGTGATTTTAACACAGAAAAGTGAGCCCATAAAGATGATTTGCTTTCCTTCTTGTATCATTAAGCACTATGATCAGTATGTACTCGTCTTAGATAAATATTATTTTAACCTCCATCAATATTTCTAGCTGACAGGACGCTGTATGATTGGAGGAGTACTGCATCGATACTATCTTCCCGTTTGCCTCATGAATCTGCTCAGAGTTTATCAGGCTCCTCGGTGATGTTTAAGGATTATTATATGGTAAGTATCTTCAAATATGGACATGGCATTTACTTGTTCTTTTTTTTCCCAGGAAAATATTGGGTCAATATTGATGAAAACATGAAATTTTACAGTGGACCTATTTAATTTTTAAATTCTTCATTGGAATTCATCTTTTTGCCCGGTCTTTTTAGTTCATGCCTGCAGTCCCAGCACCTGTGAGGCTAAATTCAGGAGAATGGCTGTGTGTTTGAGGCCAGCCTAGGCAACAGTTGTAAGATATTGTCTCAAAATCAAAAGCAACCTCACCAAATAAATAAATAAATAAATAAATAAATAAATAAGTAAGTAAGTAATCTTTTCTTCCAGAAGCAAATCTTGAGCCCTTTTATCATGCTTTGTGTAAAATTTACTTATCACCTTGACCCATAATATGTGCATTATATTTTATTAGCCAAAGAATCACATGGTTTCTTCTATATGTGATTGTATGGCTACTATTTTCTGCATTATATCAAGGAGTCAAATAGGGACTGAGAATGAAGACACCTACTTGAAGTATGATAATGGAAGGACTGAAAAAATCCAAATGCAATTTCCTAACTGCTCACTTAGGGCTTTTAGAATGAAGACTCTAATACAGAGCATGTGAACTTATAATCTGACTGTTTTGGGGGTTCTTCTATTAGAGCAATTCCTTAGATGCAGCAATGTGAATAGCACAGGAAATTCAGCTTTAAATATCTTTAGCACCAATTTTTTTTAAAAAAAATGGCAGAGCTATGACACTGTCTCAGAGAGTCACTCTGTGGATCTCATACTCTTACATGATCTCCTCTATGTGTGAATACGTGTGGCCCCTCTTTTCTTTTATCCTATATTTTTATATGTCGATGATTTATTTATTTTTCTTCCCTTCCCATTTGCTACCATAGAAAAATATGACAGTGAGTGGTACTGGATTGATTTAACAACAAAAGTTAATTCTTCTCACAGTTCTGAATCCCAGAAGTTAGCTATCAAGGTTGTCGGCAGGTATGTCTTCTGAAGCTTCACTGTTGACTGTGAGGCAGCTGTCTTTTTGGTGTGTCCTCCCCTGGGCTTTGTTTGCCTGGATCCTGGTGTCTCCTATCTTCTGATTACATTTAATCTTAGCTTCCTAAGAGCTGTGTATCCAAAAATGGTCACACTGATGGCTGGAACTCTAGCATGTTTGAAAAACACAATGTAATTCATAATTTTGTTAGATGAATGAAATATATTTAAAATGTTCCCTTATGTTGAATAGTCCTTCTAATTAATTAATTAATTAATTAATTAATTATTTGGGTAATGATGCATGGACTATGGATCACAGGTCAGAGGACAACATACAAGAGTTAGTTCTTTTTTATACTGTGCATGGGTTGTGGGATTTGAACCTAAGTTATCAAGATTAGCAGAAAGTACCTTTACTTGTTCACCAGCAATAGTTTTTAACTTGTTATTTAAAAATGTTTCATTTACAATTTTTCCTATAACCACAACTTTAAAATTAAGTCACATTTATCTTATGGTGTTAATTATGTTACTAATATATTTAAGAGTCTACTTTACTAAAACTAAAATTTTCCAAGTCTGTTTTGGGTATGAAAATTATATGGAATTTTTTTGATGGAAAATATAGATATGTCTACATTTTCAAATCTACATGAATGTAGAAATGGAAGTTACTAAAGCATAATTTACTGAGAAAAGTTAGGTCATTGTTATATATTGTTTATGGAAGACATTCCTTAATTCATCATTATTATAGTTTAGAAGGAAAATGTCTTCTATAGAGTCATGTGCTTAAACACTTGATTATTAGCTGTTATCATTGTTTTGGTAGGTTATCTGACATTCAGGAAGCAGAAACTAGTTGGATAGTGATGGGCCTTATGGTTATAACTTGATTTTTGTTTCCTGTGCTGCCCGACTTGGTGACATGTTGTTACCAGTTGCCTTTCCAAGTATGAGCTAGTCTTACCACCATAACATCCTTGACATGATAGACTGTACCCTCTCAAACCATGAAAAAATATTTCCTCTGCTAAGTTTTTAATCCTGGTGATATAAAATAACCAGTATAGAAAATTAGTACTGAGAAATGGAGTCACTATTGTGGTAAACAAAGTGGTTCATAAGCCTTTGAAGAGGTTCTCAGTGGGAATGTGAAAGAGTTTGGAACTTCAGGCTAGAAAAGTCGTTGTGTGCTTTAAGTGGAGCTTAATGGCCTTTCAGGTAGATGTTCAGAGGACTAAGATGCTTCTAGAAATGTGAATGTCAAAGTGTCTGTGTGACGTCTCAAAGGAGAAGAAGGACTCTACTAGGGACTTCTGTGTTCCAACAATGGATCTGGCTGTGTCCTGTCCTTGTGTTGAAAATTGATGTGAATTAGAAATTGATGAGTTTTTGCTTGGCAAGGGAAACTTCAAAGCATTATAGCGTTCAAGTTCTATTGTGTTCATTTCTCACTGCTTTTTGTCAGGTTTACATTGGGGAAGAGCAGAAAGTTGGAGAAAATGTTCTCGTTGGTAAGGAAAAGTGGATGAGAGTTGTAGACATGGTTGCTGTAGAGAAATCAGAGAAATGGTTCGGCCTACAGTGTGCTTGCCACATTAGCACGAGGATGAGTTTGGACCCTCAGTGCCCACATCAAAGTCAGACATGGTGGTACGTGTATATCCTCAGCTTTGGAAGGTGAGGAATGGGAAGGTGGAGCCTGCCAGCTAGCTACTCTAGTAAGTCTGTGAGCTCTAGGTCCAGTGAGAGACTCTTCCACACAAATACAAATAGAAGGTAAGCAGTCATAAGCCTTTGTATAAGTGCAATGAGAGGTAATTAAGGCTGTATATTATCTATGCATACCAACTATATGGTGTGTGTGTGTGTGTGTGTGTGTGTGTGTGTGTGGTGTGAATGAGACAGAAGTTTGAGAGTCAAGCTTTCAGATTAGCTTATGGCACCCCCTGGTTTTTTCAATTTTCATTGTTAGAACTGGGTTTTGCTTTGTCTAAGGATTCTCCTAGCCTGCAAAACGCTAGCTAGCATTTCATGTAGGGATACAAGTTTTAAGATTATTTCATGTTTTAAATAAGTAAAATTATTGTAAAATCATTTTATTTAATTAAAAATGTATATCCTAAAGTTTCCTGTTTTGACTATTCTTATGACTCTAGCTGAGTGCAATCACACCCACACTCCTGCAGAACTGCGGCCACTGTCATACAGCTTCAGAACACTTTTCTTATCTAAAACTGTCAAACTCTGTCACTGCTGAGTGCTAATTCTCCTGTAGCTCCTTTCCTGAACTTCCAAATGCTACCACTGCACATGTTGCTTGCTGCTTCTGTGACTCTGACCACTGTAGGTACCTCAAATAATCAGAACCTCACAGTCTGTTTTCTTCTTTAGTGACTGGTGGATTTCACTTTGCTAATGTCTTAAAAGGTTCCTCTGGATTGTATTGTGTGTCAGATGTATTTCCTTTATTGGCTGGACAATGACATGTGTCAGACTGGGTATCTATCAAGTGAGCAGCTTTCACCTTTTGACTGTTCAGAGAAATGTTACTGTGAATGTGGAGATTTGCATACCCGAATCTCTGTGCTTGTTCCTCTGGAGGATGTGCCAGAACTGAGATTGCTGATCTACATTGTGTTTTACGATTAACTTGTTAAGAAATCATCTTATTGTTTGTATTGTTACTTCTTTGTATAGAATAACTCTGTATCCTTGAGGAATAGCCAGTTGAGTTATGTTTTATGGCCTCTGAAAACAGATATTTATGGCCTTAAATTATCTTGAAAGATAATATCTAATGTAACTGAAACCTGTAGATATAATACCCCATACAAACATAAAAGTGTAAAATTACTTCATAATCAGATGGAAAAGACTACTGTCTCCATTTTTTTCTTTCAGTCTCATGTTATAACTCTGAGAATACGTAGACCAGTTCTAGAAAGTACAGACCTAGGGTACTGCAATTATAATAGGCAAAGCAAAACAAACTTTTAGTATTCCTCAGTATTCAGAGATGTAACATAATGTTTGTATCATTAGCACTGTTTTATTTTATGCGTATTTGCATCTATGTATATTTGTGGTATATATATACCACATGCAAGAAGATGATGATTAGACCCTGAAACTGGAGTTACAGATGCTCGTGAGCTGCCCTATGAGTGCTGAGAACTGAAATAGGTTTCCTTGAAAGAGCAGCATGTGCTCCGAACCACTAAGGCCTTTCTCTATCCCAACCTGTAACATTTTTGAAAATGATACAAATTCAAAGCAATATCAGCCGAAGTTTCTAGCTAGTCACTGTAAACAATGCAGTAACTTATTGTCACACACTAATTGTCAGTCATACAGGACTTTCCTTGGTTGATTGCTTGATTCATGTTGTGGCAGTAGCTCTAGGGTTCACAAAGCTATCTTTGAAAGAAACTCAGTCATTTTTGTGATCCCTTAGAATGAGGGAATGGGAGTTTCTCTTAGTGCATGCGGCTTAGAAGAAAAGTCTCAGGAAACGAGGGTGAGATGTGCATATGGTCATTCTAGAGCCATGTGGCCCTCCAGCAACCCTGTGTCCTAGGCACAGGAAGAAACCTCTTGTTGTAGCCGAATCCACAATGAAAGGAACATGCCTGACGTTAACTTGGAAGTAGAGGATTACCAGTGAATGCAACTTGGTCTTATAATTGGTTGTATTTGAATTACTTCCCTTTTTATATTTTTATTTATGTGTGTAGGTGCATGTACACATGTGTATAAGTATGTGTCCAGGCCAGAGATGAACACTGTATCTAGACTTAGCATTTTAGATAGATTTTCTTCTAGCAAACCCCAAGGATCTCCTTGGCTCTGCCTCCTCAGCACAGAAGTTTCATGATTCCACATCCATATATTTTACATGGATGCCAGGGACTAAATCAGGTCTTCATTGTTGCACAACAAACATTTACTCAGCTATCCTTGCATCCCTCTGCTTTTAAGAAGGCATCTTTTGCCTT